ACTCCGTACTAATTAATATTTAATGTACATATTTGACCTTTAATAATGTTATTTGCTTTGGTATTAGTAATAAATTTAAAGAATTTAAGATTTAGAAAAACGAAGTAAATGATAAATTTATGTAGAAAAAATAAAGAAAATATACTTTGTGAAATTATAGTCAATGAATACAAGTAATACTTATTTTGCCTAAAATTGGTTTATATACAATGTTATAATCTTCTCACATAGTCACATGAGAGTTTGTTAGGATTGAAATGTGGATGAAGTATGACTCTCATGCATAGGGTGAAATCAATTCCTCTTTAGGAGGAGTGGATAAGACTTGAACTTGTGACCTTTTTGTCGCGCTAATGAACTCTTAATAATAACATGTTAGAAGATCATTTCAACCCTCAATTGTAATAAAAAACTAAAAGTATAATATAAGTGGGATATTTTTTAGTAAGATTTATTTTAAGATGTTTAGACTGTACTTTGATTTTTATTTTTATTTTCATTTTATTTGAAATAAGACATTACTTTGATTTGGACAAAAAATATCGGTGCCTAATTGGACAATTCAGTTAACAAATTACTATTGCTTTATAAGTTGCACTTTTCTTGTATGAAAATATTACACAGTTTGGTTTTAATCGATTGTTTTTGCCTAATTAATCTAATTACTTTGATTTTTCCCATGTGACATGTATGTAAATGATTTAAATTAAATTTTTTATGGATGGTATGATATTTTAGACATTAAGGGCATGTTTCGATTTACTGATAACAACTTAACTGGTTGATTGAAGCTTAACTGAATAAAGATGAAATGAATTGTTTACGATAGAAGAAAATTAAGAAGCGAATTGATGAACTGAACTGATTGGAGCTGAATTAAACTGAACTGACGTTAAGTCGAACAGGCCCACTCAAATCTTAAGGGGGAAAAAAGAAAACAATTGCACTGGAGAGTGGAAAGTCGGAGACCATGTGCACTTGTTTCAGTTTTCCTTGTATAAACTATTAAGGGCCTGTTCTCTTCCGTTGAAATTCAGTTCAATTCAGTTCAGTTCAGCTCAGTTCAGTTCAGCACAGCTCTTAATTTACGTCTAATGATATTGCTAATGATATAAAGCCAAAATTCATTCTTTTAAGCTCTTATTACAACGACGACAACAACAACAACAACAACAACAACAACAACAACAACAACAACAATAATAATAATAATAATAATAATAATAATAATAATAATAATAATATTAACAATAATAATAATAATCAATAAGTAATAAATAATAATAATCATCAATAAATAATAATAATAATAATAATAATAATAATAATAACAATAATAATTGAAATAATAATACTAATAATAATAATAATCAATAAATAATAATAATAATCATCAATAAATAATAATAATAATAATAATCAATAAATAATAATAATAATAATAATAATAATAATAATAATCAAAATTAATAATAATAATAATAATAATAATATGTACATTTGTATATACACATATGTATAGTAATAAATAATCAATAAATAATCAAAGAACACTAATCCGAAGTTAGAAATCACTAATTAATCAGTTCTATTCAGTTCAGTTCAGCTGAGTTCAGTCAATCGGAACAGGCCCTAAGTGTGAGTTCCATATCTACATACATGGGTGAACAACTCTGTGCTTATTTGAGATTTCGATTGATTTTAAAAATTGATCAATTGTATAGACAATATTATCATGATTTTTCTTAGCTTGTGTGTTATTTGTTCAACGTATACCATTTCCAATGCTTTATCAACTAAGATCAAGTTCTTTTCGGTTAACAGATTGGTACAATAAAGTACTTAGGGCATGTTCTCTTACATTGAAATTCAGTTCAGCTCCTAATTTCCTTCTTTTATAAAATATTCATTTCAATTCAGTTCAGTTAAGCTAAGTTCAGTCAATGAGAACATGCCCTTAGTTCAATTTATAATTAAATAAAGTTCATCATATAATATAAGAAAAAATGAGGTATTAATCCTTTTACTGAATAGATAGATCACGTCATAAACTACTTAATATCCACCCTCGCTATCATTGGTGGAGGCACCATTTTTTTCATAACATCTTGAACTAAAACTAAGGGAATCCATGGATGGAAATTTTGCCCCAACCAAGGTACGATGTATTACATTGAGCGCTGACTAAAGTTTTGCCCTATTCGTAGATTAAAATGTGGAGATAATCATTAAGAGGCCTACTTGATTATGACAGGAACAAAAAACATACTACCTCCGGTTCGTATTATATGTAACTTTGGTGTATTATTTGTGAGATATAAAATATTTCAAAGTTGCATATATAATACGAACCGGAGGAAGTAAGTTATTTCAATGTTTTCAATACTAGCTAGAGACTAAAATTTGCTATATTTAGGGACATAGGGACAAAGAAGACTATGGACACCAGCAAAGGGCCGTGACAAAAGACCACGGACACCAGCAAAGGGCCGTGACAAAAGACCACGGACACCAGCAAAGGGCCGTGACAGAAGACCATGGACACCAGCAAAGGGCCGTGGTAGCAAAAGTTCGTTTTTTTTTTTAAATAAAAAAATTTGAAGGCGACATCAACAGAGAGGTGCAACTCGATCGACTTCAACAAAGTGCGAATTTCCAATCGTAACGTTCGTGTTACTGCCGTTACGATTGCGGGAGGGTGTTAGGAATATAGGAAAATATATTATTGTGATATATTTTCCATATTGATCTTATGATATTATATTTATGATAATAATATATCTTAGTGATATTCTAAGAAGTTTATATGATAGAGTTTATATTGTGTAGGTTATCTTTTGTAGGCTATAAATAATAACCAAGATCATCAATACAATTCAAGCTATTCTCTCATATATAATTTGGCATGTTATCTGGTGGGCTTTAGATATAGAATTCTAATTCGACTAAACACCACTTTTTCCATAAACACATGGATTCATCTCGCTCGACCCTTTACTCGTACTTGCTAAGCATTGACAATTGCATCCTTTCAAATCCTAAATTGACGTGAAAACCGAAAGGGATTTGTTAAACGTCGCCCGCAAATCTCCACATAAAGCCCACAAATATTTTTACTTTGACTCTTTTGCCCTTTTTCTAATTTTGACCGAAACCGTAATTCACTCTCACGAAGAATGTGGAGCTGGAGTGGATCGCCGAGGGACACCGAAGAGCCGTCATCGTCGCCGGAAAGCGAGATAATCCGGGGGAAAAATTACGAAAAGTAGGGGTGGCGTCTGGTCAGGACGCCGCCACCATGGTTGTGGCGTCCTGGCCAGACGCCGCCACCATGGTTGTGGCGTCCTGGCCAGACGCCGCCACCATGGTTGTGGCGTCCTGGCCAGACGCCGCCACCATGGTTGTGGCGTCCTGGCCAGACGCCACCCCTACTTTTTGTAATTTTTTTTTTTTTTGTAATTTGTTATTTATTTATTTATTTATTCTTTTTTTTTGTAATTTTATTTAAAATTTTTAAAATTTTATTTAAAGTTTTTGTTTTTTTTAATTAAACATTAACACAAAAAATTCTGATTTAAAAAAATATATATACATTAGAAATAAAAACATTAACACATAAAACAAAAATATCAAACATTAACAAAAGAATTCTGATTTTCCAAAAAAAAATTATTAGACAAAAAAAAAAAAAAAAAAGTGGTAGGGCGCCTGGCCAGGACGCCCAGCCCCTGGTGGTGGCGTCTGCTCCGGCCGCCGGGACCAGGGGGCTGGCGTCTGACCTGGACGCCCAGCCACGGCGGTGGCGCCTCTGGAAAACGCCACAACCGTGGCTAGGCGTCCAGGTCAGACGCCAGCCCCCTGGTTCCGGCGGCCGGAGCAGACAGGCGCCCCACCTCTTCTGGTTTTTTTTTAAAATTTTTTTTTTAAAAAAAACCCTGCCACCGTGAGCCGTCCTTCCCTCCGCCGCTGTGGCCGCCAAGTCCTTTCCTTGCCGCCTCAACATTGCCGTATTTTCGGGTGATTAGAGTGTGGGTATGGGTTAGATTTTTTTATTTTAGGTTTAGGGCAATAAGGTAAATTCAATATAGATTTGTGGGCTTTATGTGGAGATTTGCGGGCGATGTTTAGCAATCCACAAACCGAAAACCTCAAGAGGAAACTAATAGATGTGGCAAGCTAGCTTAGGCCTATGAAGTGCACTCATATTTGTGACCTAAAAACTTTGGTATTGTTTGGATATTCCCATTCCCTCCCATACTCGACTACTATAAATTTATTCTAAGAAAAGAATTACAAAATCATAAAAATTGCTTAAAAACATAAGAAATATTAATAAAGAAACCTTAGCTGATTTAAAATAAACTCTCTAAGAAACCCCCCTCCCCCCAAAAAAAAAACACAAAAATACTCTATTAGGTAAAAATAATTTTAGTTCAGCAAAAATAAGTTTAATTCAGTAAAAATAATTTATGGTCAGTAAAAATCAGTAACTTTAAAGAATAAATATAACTGAAAATCAGTAAAAATAATTTCAATTTAGTAATAATAATTTAAAGGTCTGTTCTGTTCAGCTTAATTTCAGTTCAGATTCAATCAGTTTAGTTCCTAATTTCATTCTCACATAAACAATTTATTTCTACTCTATTCAATTCAGTTCAGCCTCAATCAGTTCAGTTGTTTTCAATAAATCGAAACAGGCCCTAAGTTCATCAAAACTAAGATCAAGTGAACAAGGACATACTCTATGGATCTCATAATACATGTCATCTTATTAGTGTTTATGTACCGCGCATTACTATTGTTAAGTAATTGTAGTTAATATTTCGAAATGACACTTTGGTAAACAAAAAGTCATTTAATATCAAATTACCATTATAAGACAACCTATATTTCGAATCAAAAGATTCTACCCAAAAACAACTTATAATTTAGGTCGGTGAGATTACGTGATAGAAAAACAGATGAGCTTTATCCTAAAAGAATCATCCGAGAAAAGACTCTCGAGCAAATCAAATAACCCTAATTACAAACTTAGATACTTTGTACAAAATCAAAAATTCAATTAATATAAATTGCCAAAGGACACAACTTTTACACAATTAGCAATTTTTCCAACTCCAACTTGTAACGTGGGCGCGGTTAAATTTTCCCTTATATATACTCTCCTCTTACCACTTTGTCTTCACTACTTCACTTCACATCCATTTTTCGTCACTCTAAAAAAAAAATCAAAAAACAAAATTTTGCCTAAATTCCCAAAATTCCTCACAAATTTCTAATTTGAACAACAAAAATCAATTAACCCTTTAATTTTGTTGATTAATGGGAGATAATTGTGCTACAAAATCAATGGGGTTTCTCCAATTTGAGCAATTAATCCCAGGTTTACCAGATGATTTAGCAATGGAGTGTCTTTTGAGAGTACCCATTACTTCTCATCCTTCACTTAGATTGGTTTCTCATCTATGGAAGTCTACTGTCTCTCATCCTTCTTTCTTCTCCAATCGCCGCCTCGCTCGCTTCGCCGAAAATCATGTGTTTCTTATACAGCCACAGTCACCTCCGCCGCCGTTACTGGTGGCTGAAGATAAAAGTTTACTCGAAGAATCAGAATCCGATGATGGTATCAAAGAAGTTGTTAATGGGAGTCCACTTCTTTACAATCTGAATGTTTTTAACACGAATAATGAAGAATGGCGTTGTTTAGCAGGGGTTACAATCCCTACATTTTCGCAGTGTGTTGTTTTGCCGGCGGTGAGGAAGTTGGTGGTGCTAGGCGGGTGGGACCCGGCGACGCTGGAGCCGGTTTCGAGGGTGTTGGTTCTGGACCTCGCCGTCGGGACGTGGAGGGAGGGATCCCCGATGCCGACGGCAAGATCGTTCTTCGCCTGTGCGGCGGCAGGGCCTTCCACGGTCTACGTCGCCGGAGGGCATGACGGACAGAAGAATGCCCTCCGATCGGCGGAGGCCTACGACGCTGTGGCCGACAAGTGGAAGGCCCTGCCGCCAATGGCGGAAGAACGAGACGAAAGCTACGGACTGTCCTTAACAAAAGAAGAAAAGTTCTGGGTTATAAGCGGCTACGGGACTGAATCTCAAGGGAGATTCAGGCCCGATGCCGAAGTATTCGACCCAGAGTCGAATACTTGGGAAATTGTTTCCGGGGTATGGCCGTACCCCGGAAACAATCCCAAATCCACCGCCGTTGTCACAGTAGAAGGACAACGGCGGTGGTGGTACGTCCTCGAGGGCGAAATAAAAGAATTCCAATGGGATGACAAGGTGTGGAAAGGGGTGAACCTAGGATCGATTCCGAAACGAGTAACGGAGTTATGGTCATCTTCATCATCGGTTTCCTTGATTGATGTTGGAAATGGTAAGATTTTCTTGATGGGAAATGGGGAGAATTGTGGTGGGGAAGGTATGTTCATCTTGGAGAGAAAAAATGTGGATAATAACACCAACAACAATAATAACAATTGCAATAAAGGTCAAGGTGGAGTTAATTGGAGATGGCAACATGTTCATGCTCCTCCAAGATTTTTTGGGTTCCCCTTCTCCGCTTCTCACCTTCTTATCTAGGCTTGCATTGTTTCTTACGAGTATAACTTGTTAGAGAAATTGTCTTAGGTCCAGGATTATTATTGCAAATCAAGTTCCGCGAGAAAAAGTGTCTATAGTCTATACCAATGTTTTAATAAATTATGAGTATATGTTATTATGTTACTCCGTGTCTTATACGGATGTTCGAAGATTGTATAAATCTAGATGATGAGCGAATTACTATTCTTAATTTCTTTATTATTGTTAATTATTATTATTATTATTAATTTTGACTTGATTTTGCACAAAAATACGAATACTAACAACTCTAGATTCTGAGTTTAAAACTTATAGATTGCAATTTAAACACTAACTATTCTATGGTCTATATATTTGAACAATAATGCATATATTGACTTGGTATGGTTTTAAACAAAAAAGGAAGTGGTGTATGAAGTAGCGTGTAAAGTGTTGTGATGTTGTAAAAGGTGTACAAGCAAACAATTTATGTTTGGGGAGAATAATTTCAATTTTTGATTTCTTAGAATCCAATTTGACATGTACATAAGATAACATAGCATTATAGAGGGAATTTTGTGTAGAACTACCCTAAAGATAGGGTCATTTGTGAACAACTACCCATTTTTTTTTTTATTTGTTTAAAACTATCCGCAAGTTTGGAAAAGTTTGGGAAGCACTACCCACTAACGTTTTTCGTCCCATTAAAACGTTATTTTGGCCCAATTTTTTACTTTTTTCAATTATAATGGTCAATTAATGCTAAAATAAGCAAAAACCCCAATTCAATTAAATCCCCAAACTTTAGAAATTAAAATCCCAAAATAATACTACGCTCATGAATCCTAAAATAAATTATGATTAAAACCTTAATTAGGTTAAGTAAGGTAAATTAAAACCTTTATACAAATTGGGAGAGTTAATTGGGTGGCAAAAGTGAAAAAAGTAAGTTCCGATAACGTCTTAATTGGACGAAAAATGTTAATGGGCAGTGCTACCCAAATGTTTTCAAACTTATGGGTAATTCTAAACAAATAAAAAAATGAGTAGTTGTTCACAAATGACCCTATCTTTAGGGTAGTTCTACACAAAATTTTCCATTATAGAATTTAATATCCACTGAATACTTTTTGTTTTCGTTTTTTTTATCGGCACAAATAAGCTACGTAGTATCAAGAGTTTAGAACCTAGTAAATTACCTATCGAGGTGGGCTCATGGAGACATTTGAACTTGTAATTTATCGTATAAAATCATTTTCTAACACTTTAAATACTCGTAATTATCATTTTCGACCTTGTTTCTTGATACAAATTTTCAACAAAATTTCGTAGGTTTGTTTTGATAAAGATGTGTCTATCAATAGTAACATATACAAGGAGAGAAAATTGAGAACAACTCCAATACCATCACATAAACTTGTAAGCTAATTATCTTTCTAGTTAGTTTGAGCCACAATGGCTAGCTATTAGCTTACTATTGAACTTATTAATTTATTGTTTTCATCTTGATTACTAATTTACCTATAGCATTATTTTTTGGCAAGTTTTTTTTTCCAAGCAAATTAGTTTAGTAAAGCTAATTGCATATTCTAGATCCAACGATCGAGCTAATAGTTAGTGTAGATTTCGGATTTTTGGTCGATTTCGGGTCATTTGTCATATGAGTCGGGTAATCGTGTAATCATAATTACTACATGCTTATATTAATGGAAAAATTGTCAAAAATTATACAAACTTTGAGCGATCCGCTAAAAACAAGTCAAACTTTTAATTAATTCTAAATAATACAAACTTTAAGGGATATCTTTACTTACAACTTATTTAACCAATTATTTATTTTTTTATTTATCTTATATAGTTGTTTAATAGTTTTAAAAAAAATAATACAATGTCACGTGTTCTATATAACTTATTCATGAGCTAACTAATCGGTTAAGTTGTTTAAAGCGGATAACCCTCAAAGTTTATATTATTTAAAAATAATTAAAAGTGTGGCTTGTTTTTGACGGATTGCTCAAAGTTTGTATTATTTTTGACAATTTTTCCTATATTAATTTTAAAAAGTGAATAAAATAAGGTCTTATCTTATCATTTACCTCTGAATCGATTTCTAGTCACTCAATTTTTACAATTTTGTTGCTTTTTTTAAACACAAAAGAAGTGATGTATGTGTATTTTTAATTTGTATTTGTTTTTTTTGTTTTTTTTTTGATAAATAAAATATCTATCTCTTGTTTTGTTAGTTATTTTATATTTTTTGGTATCTTATATCTCTAACATGTTTAATACAATATTTTTTTTTTTTGAATAGACATGTTCAATACAATATAGAATATGTGAGATTGAGAAATAAATGAACAATGCTACAAGAGTAATGAATGAAGAATCGACAAACGTAGACACGTAGTATAGTGTAGTACTTGTACAAAGCTATAAAGCCAAAAGTTTAATTTGTCGCCTGAGTCAGTATTTCAGTATTTGTTAATTAAAACTTTATTCTTTGTTTTTTCGGCTGACACAAATCAATTAAAGTTCTGTGAATAATTGAAATTGATTGCATGATAGCCCATACTACTTTTATTTTATACTACTCGTATTCCTAAAAAAATTATAATGAAAATAAAAAATACTCCCTTCATTTTTAAATATTTGCTCCATTTCTATTTTATACACTATTTATTTATCCTACTTTGAATAATGTTTGTGAGTTATACATAAGAAAAAATATAGTCTTGTAGATACTTGTTGGAATCATCTCAATAAATAGATTATTAATTTTCAATTGTTAGAATTTATACTTATTGGAAATTAAATATATTAGTGATCAAAGATTAGAATTGGCATGCGTGTCCAAGAGAAATGAAGCAAGTATTTAAAAACGGAGGGAGTACTATGTTTGATACTAGTAATAAGAGTAACTGAGTAACCTCATTTTTCCATTGCAATACCAATAATAACCCCTCATCACGTTATGGACACTCCTCATATTCAGCGCTCTGACATCATGTTAATGAACCAATTCAACTAAAAGGTTAATGTAATGGTTGAAATCCAAAATTGATTTATATACTCTATCACACATTCACACCCCTTCACATGAATACTCATTGGACTTGAATTGTGGATATAACATTGGTCCCACCATACCCAATATCAAATCATCTTTGTGGTACACAAATATGCAAAAACCTATACAGTAATAAGGAAAAAGATATTTCATGTAGGCATGTAGCAGCCTAATGTACCAAATACTAGAATTATTACAAATAATGTTAGGCATTGATATTTTCCTTTCCCAAGCCACAATTTCTTTTTCAACGATTACTTCTACTTTGCAAATTTAACTATTAATGTAATTCCCATCTATCAACTATAAGAACGATCAGTCATAATCCAAATTAACTCCCTAAATATCTCTATGTATGTATGTTTAGTACCCGTTTTTTTTTTTTTAAACAAAATTTATGTTTATTACAAATTTACAATACTTATTCATCCTTTATAAAAAAAAAAAAAAAGAGTCCTGAAGGACACAAAAAATCATTAATTAAAGTCATATGACATTTACAATTGACAATTAACGATAATGAAAACAAATATAACAAAGTCAAACAAGAATTAATGGGGAAGACTAAGAATCCATATATGTGAATATAACAATTTAGCATATTCTCAATTATTCGTTATGTCATACAACTTTTTAAGTCGATCTGTCTTCGCTTCGCAATTTTGTGAGAAAGTAAATTCTTGTGTTGATCTCGTAACCCGAATCTTATCAATCGTAGCCTGCACAACCAGAGACCAGATTAAATACAGATAAAACCTTGTCTTTTGAAGGAGGTAGAAAAAACCTTGTCTTTCGAAGGAGGTAGAAAAAACCTTGTCTTTCGAATGAGACATTATTATAACCTAAGAAACAAAAAACTTAAAAGAAAATAAAGATTAGGGTTTTCCACCGGTGAAATTCAATTGAAGACCTTTGAAAAGTAACATTAAAGACTAAGGTTTAGGAGAGAGAAAAGAGAATATCTTTTTTCATTTTTAATACATACGAAGTACAAAGTAGCTTAGATTATAAAATAAGATGAACTAAATATACGTACATAGATCATGTTTTTTAGCTCATCTGATCTTATTTTTACTTGCCTAAATTGATTTGAGTCTTCTTCTTCTTCTTCTTCTTCTTCTTCTTTATTTTTATTTATTATTTTTTTTTATCAAATCCAAACTTATTTTTTGTAAGGTCTTCTTAGATTTTAATGTGTATTTTGTAAATTTATAAAATTCTTAAACTTTTTATCTATTACAAATTTAAAATATTTAGCAATAAAAAATCATATATAAAATATTAAATGTTAAATATATATAAACCTGTATGAACTTATTATTTTTCTAATTTAATTTAAAATAATAGAGTAACAAGGTATTGAGAAACTCTTTAAAATATGCAAATGTCACTTTCAATTTATGGTCCACCAAATCCATTTATTTTTTAAATAAATTACAAAATGTATTAAAATATTAATAAGAGTCCTACACTTTTTGTCAAATGAGACTTAAAGTTGAGTTTCTAAACTTAGCAACTTTCTTTTGGAGTTGCTAAGTTTAGGTACCAACTTATTGGTTTACATTGCAAAAAATACTCTCTCTCTTAAAAATACTCATTTGAGTCTTACATTGGAGATGGTCTAACCATAGCCATGGACGAAAATAATACTCAAGTATCACATGGTAGGGTGTTAAGAATAATATTTTATTTCCTTAGATAGAGTAGGGTTCAAGAATTGGAACACTACAATACAAACAACAAGAACCCCATGCAATATTTTATTATGTATTATTACACCAAAAAAACAAATAAAAAATAAAAATCAAAATTTTCTTATGCATGCCAATGTACAGCTAGTCCTAGTACTTCTTAAACCTGGGCACGGGCCGGGTTGGCCCGCATGCCGCCCGGCACGGCCCGCCGTTCGGGGCAGCCCGGCACGACCCGAATTCAAGCACGGCACGACACGAAGTTCAACTCCCGTGCCACGGGCCGTGCCACGGACAGGGTTGAGAATTCCCAGGCACGTCCCGGCACGAGCACGGCCATGGCCCGCCGTGCTGGCCCGTCGTGCCGGCCCGTCGTGCCGGCCCGCAGGCACGGCCCGCGGGCCAACGGTAATGTTACCGTTTATCCTAGCTCCTTAATAAGCCAAAAAAGCAGCTAAAAAACGGCTAGTTTTTTGCCAATTTGCTCCCCAAAAATTCTATAAATACTCAC